GTGACTTTTTCGATTCGGACAATTATTTATATTATTAATTAAATATTTATTTATTTTATTAATTAAATATAATGATGTTACAATTATATAATTAATGGTCACATATACATAATTAATTGGTTACAGATTATTTTTGAGGTCACAAATCAAAAAAAACTATAGGTCACGGATTATTTTGAAATCACAAATCAGGTTACGTATTTGCTAAATTTATTGGTCACTGATTAATTTTTAGTCATAATTTTAAGGTCAACACCACCGAATTCTGTGAACACCCTCGTGACCACCACCGACTTCTGTGATCACTCCCATGACCACCACTGACCACCGTGACCACTCCCGTGACCACCACCATCGCTGCACCGTACCGCACCACCACCATAAAAAAAACATGACCTCAGCTGCCTGCGAGTCGGCACCACCTCACCGTCAAACCGCCTCGCCGTCGCCGCCACCACCTCTTGAAACAAATCAGCCCATCTAAAAAAAAATATTATTATAGTCACTACCACGACCACAGATCGAGACACCACCATTGCATCCACAGCACCATAACCGCACCCACCGACACAGCCACCGTCAGCACCATACCGTTGCACATCCACCTCCACCGACACAGCCACCGTCAGCACCACTGCACATCCACATCCACCGCACCATACCACCACCACCACGCATAGCACAGCACCAGGCCACTCACTACACCACACTGCAGTGCACCGCATACCAACACCTCCACCACACTACACTACACCGCACAAAAATTAAAAAAAGAAAAAAAAAAGAGGAAGAAGAAGAAGAAGAACGCATCTAAAACCGTGAGACTCACACTGGTGACTGATGTTTGAGCAATCACTGGATTTTCTCCTCCGACCGACGCACTCTCGTTGCCACATGTCCCGTCTCCTGCAACAGCATCGCAATCGCCATCTTCTGCTCATTTCCTCACACTTTCTTCCCTTTCGGTGCCTCCGTCGTCAGATTGCTCTCCATGTCCATCTCCGGCATTAACCAATACTTCTGCTGCTCACAAGTCTCCTACACCGGCACCCGCACCGGCTGTAGCGGCGACGAGAGGGACTTCTCCTCCGACGAGGGGCGAAGAGAGAGAGAGAGTGAAATAGAGAGGAAGAGTGGCTGAGGAGAGAGAGAGGAGGAGGAGACGATTTTGGGGGAATAACTAATTAGGGATTTGATGAAATTTAAATAATTAATATATAAATATAAAAAATCTGATTTTTGAATAAACAAACCTTGCATCTGATTTTTTTAAGTTGGATTTTGAAAGATAGGATTTGGTGTAATTTC